CGCGTTCCACGGCCCTCTTATCATATCTCCATTCCTGCGCATGTTAGGACGGGGAAACCGCTACGCTTCGACAGCTGGAGGACTGATAGTCACACACACCCAAACTGTGTGTGACCGTATCATGTATATTTAAGAGGCGCGTGTATTTCCGGGAGACACGATTCCCCAAAGAATAGTTTTTGCGCGTTTTCCCGGGAGTACACGCCGACTCGAACGTGTCATGGGAGCTATTAGTGAGGAAGTTCTCATTTTACCTTTGCAGCCTTCACATGTGAGAGCATTATAGTGATAGCCGGATGCTTTGTCTCCACACACCAGACACAGTTCCTCACCAGGTACCGCCAACGTTGGAGCACGACATTTCAAGCCTCGCGTCTTTCTCGTCTGTCCCTTAATGATTTAGTTTTATGAGACTACAGTTCACGAAAATGCTAGGGTGAAAATACTGTAGGCAATTAATACTGGGTTGCCTCTTAGGCCTTGTCCATTTTCGACAATTTGATTAAATTTTTCTTTCCTCCGATAAACATCATGTGAACAATAATACTCGAAATCCCTGAGATCGGGTAGGCGTGGCCGCATGTTTCAACTTAACCTGTCTATGCTTCTGGTGAGATATTTTCATCTTGACACAATTGTTGTCGTGTCTCTGTCCAACCCAGAACAAGATGACAGTTGTCCCAGACTGGAATATTCCACGAGTACCATGTTCAAATGGCACGCCGTGAGTGCCATGTTGAAATGGCACGCCTACTCTTAGGTTCATAGGTAAGGAGGGTTAATCATATGTGGGTTGACTTGATATGGGCTTTTTGGCTGGCCAGGACTGGCTGGCTTTTGTAGCAGGGCTGGAGAATGGTGGCGTGATTTGAAGAATGAGGGCTTCCAGGTCATAATTTCTTTCACGCTGGTCCAGAACGGGGAAGCAAGATGGTAGCCCTATGGATTGATTGCCAAGTGGTTATATGATGGGTGCTCGTCCCCTTTCTGGTTCTGTCCAGAATGTGATGAATCGCGTCTCAATAGGAGAACAGATGCTATCTGGAAGCCAACATTGCATCGCTTTAGTCACTTATTTCGCCAGTTTCGCGCTGGTAATGGCATATACAGGGGGGGGGGCCAAAAAAAGTCATTCCGGCCGAGTCATATGAGCGAAGTTTTCGCAGCCCAGACAGAGGAAGTGGATATGAGTACCAGGGCGGAAGATACCCAAGATCTTCCTCTATAAGCAGGAGCCGGCTGCCGCCATTCACCTTCATGTACACCAAAATATGAAGTCATCTCCAGTCGCGGCCTGAGTGGAGAACGCCTTTGGAATTCACGTGGCCTCCAGCTGCGGAACTTCTTGAATGGAATCACCCATGGATAGCTACCTGGAGACCATCTCACCCCATTCACCAAGGCGCGGGTTGATGGTGTGGACCGGCCGTACCTGGAATGGGAAGGCCGATATTTTCTTTGTAGACCCCGACTGAAGGTGAGCGCTGGCGGTTACATCAAGTAACTCGAGAAGGATATCCTCGCCGGTGCAATGTGGTCGCCGTGACCTTCTTGAGAGCTTGTGCTGGCTAGCAGGTTTGGGTGCGCTATCACAGTGAAATGCGAAGGGTTTTTGGAAAAACTCCCGCCTAATATTCCCCAGAATGGGAAGAGGCGATTTTCGTAACTTGATGAAGAATTAATAATTGAAATATGTCCCGCTGATGAACGCTGCACTCAATTACGCTAGTTCCGTGGCGGAGCTTAAACAGGGTGGTTCTACAGTGCCGGAGAAGATCAACGATCTCCTTAACTCAGTAATAACTCCAGTACCCACTTTACTTTCGCGGCGGCCCGAATCTCTCGATGCGCTTCCTCAGAAGTGTACTGTGCGGAGTATCATTATAGTATTTAATGTGCTCTTTAATATGGTAGTAAAAATGTCCGATAAAAATTTAATAAAGTGTAACTTATAGCGCCTTGAAAGTCATGGAGGCAAAATGACTTTTTTTGCCCCCCCCCCCTGTATGTATACACTGCTAAGGAGTGACTGCTCGTATTCGAGCCATTCCTAAGACAGCGTGCTCTGTCAATATCCATAGAACCGGACAAAATCCTTACGGCAGGGACCTCAAGTTTGGCAAGGTCGGTGAGCCTTAGTGGCGCCAATATGGCGCCAACTTTCTGGTCGTTCCTATTGCACCCCAGATAGCAATCGTAGGCCATATATTACATGATAAACTTGTTAATCTACAAATAAACTCCTCCCACGTTGAGTTGCAATGCGGGTTCTGCTGCGAAAACTGCTACTAAGAACCCCCACTCTGCAACATTCCACAATTGTTCGACTCAACATGGAACAGAAAACTTTGGACCAGAACTGAAGTTCGACAAGACTTATGGGACAACGTAATAGAGGCTGTATTTCAGTCCCATTCAGAAAAAAAGATTTGTTCTGAAAAGGGAAGACACAGTTCGAAAAGCAACAGTGACGCATAAGGGTGCCAAAGAATATTGGTGTTCTAAGCGCGCCAGACTAATTTAACGAGCACATGAATGAGAGCGGCTGAATTGAAAAGCATTCAGGACACTAAGTGAAGTGAGTGCACGCATGATATCTTCATGAATTAGGTGTTTCTTCATGTTCCTCCTCCCGAACCATTTCGGAGACGGTCGAAGTTCTTTGTCTTGTTCAAAATTTCCTGGACCGATTACGATCTATCTCTCTTTCAGCGAATATTTATTCATCCACGTCCCACATGATCCAGAGGTGCCAAAGAGGAGCAACTTGTATGACATGGTTGGCGCAAATCCCCCGGACTAGATATCGAACAAAATGTATCTGGACTCAGAGCCGCCAATGACAGCATCTCTGGGATTTCTAAAGATAAATTGCTTCTACTTCATAAGCAAATTTCGTGTCTCCCTTAAGGACAGAGCTCTCGTCTTCGTGTACGTGGTGAGCAGTTTCGCTGCTACGTAGTTTACCACCTTTTCACTCTAAAGTGCATATCAAGGACTCTAGAGGATCATCGGGCCTGAGACCTACTTGACGCGCCGCCCCACGGCCCAAACCCCGCTCATGCTAACATCATTACATAAAGTTGGCATAACGAAAAAGCTCAGAGCTCAGCTGGGTTTCACCAAAGGGGAGAGCGTGTCCTGCATAGTGCTGACAGCACTTCCAAAGAGTTCTCCCAAAAATTGATACGCTTCGCAGTCCCAAAGCAAAAACCTGTCCCATTCAACGTCTTCTGTTTTATTTGTTTTTTCCACTGGAGAGTCATATACCATGCACCGATTCATGTGCGGCGCACCCTACCTATGCCTTGCCATAACAAGTTGCTGTTCAGATTAATTGCATTTGTTCAAGGATAAATCCCTTCAAATAGGATGCCCCTAGTTCGGGTTCTTTGAGCGAAAACGGTTCAGTGGATACTAATAAGAGGGTAGAACCGAGACGCTATTGACGAAATTCGGTGATTAGCGGGACGACAGGTGTTGCAGGTGATGGTGAAAGCCGAATTCGCATGCAATCTTAGCTCTTCTAAGTTTCTGCAAAAGTTGAAAGTTCAAAGTACGACAGGTCCTTGAAGCACGACTCACTTGATTTTCAAAAATTCCTGTGCTATCACTAACATCGCAGTGGCAGCGTGGCTGTTGGCGTGATTCCCCGTGAGTGATACAGCACCGTCAGCGCACACTATTGGTGCATTTATGGTGAGCTGTGTGAGCATTCAGATGGCATGCTTCATTTTCCAAAAGGTTCTAACTCCTTGCCCATCAAACTCGAAAGGTATCCTTATCAGGGCACAAAAATGTTGTTGTGCAAAACGTTCGCGAAACCCCTTCCCCCAAGAGTTTCTGCTCTGATACCGGGGCACGCCATCGCGTTGCGTAAAACTTCTTCCTGAATACGACCACCCCCTGCCCAAGAGCGGGTTCTCTGGAGACTACTCAAAAAAGAAAGACAAAAAGGGGCAAAAAGAAATAATATCCAATCGGATGCTCAGGTTTTGGAAGTTCGCGCGCATTCAGAATTTGCGCGCGGTTCAAAGCGCTTTACGCAGTCGCATCGGAGCAGACTATTTCGCGATATTCTGCGGAATAGGTCTGAATCTCCAGAAGTATCCTTTCCTGGTAATCCATACTTTCTTGAGAGCAGAAGCGATAGAAGCAAAGCGAAGAAGCAGATTGTTGAAGCTCTAGGTTCGCTATTGATTAGCTTTGCTTGATCTGAATTTCTCAAGGAAATATTCCCTATCATCGTTGCTGAATTTTTGAGTCACCTACAAGTTTTCAAGCTACAGCCATAACTTTCTCCATTTGTGATTTGCCTGAACACAAAAAGTCACGGAATCTAAAAAGACCCCCTCCCTTTCTGCGCCACTCGCTTTTTTCTATGCCTACCACAATCATTCCGGTCGACATTTTAAGAAGGTGCGTTCATTTGGCGCCGAAGGGCCTCACCTCTGCGACGCTACTTTGAGTCTTCCTTGCAGGCAGATATGCTCCCACGATTCGGAAAATTCCAAGCGCATACT